GCGAGAAAACGGGTCGGGAGTGGGCGAGAGGCAGTGTAGACAGCAGGAGTATGTGCGCGAGATGGTGGCTGCCGTGGGCGTCGATGAATAGATATCCCTGTAGCGCGAGCGAGCAACCCGGGTCACTACACAGTCCATGCTGGGGTATATTGAAATGGTCAGTGGCCTCACGTGAGAAGAGGACGCGAATTAGGCAGGTCGACAGCAGTGTAGCTAGGATATCTTTACGAGACTGCTGAGCTCGCTTAGCGCGTCAATGGGGTTGAGCCTGATTGAACTTGCTGGAATATGTGGACTAGGCTAAGGCTTGGTAGTGCTGTACTATGTGAACTCGTACATTCCGGCTACCGCTGTAGTTTATAGTACAGGTGATGCACCGCCTCATGACCTCCTGGCCGCACAAACAGTGCACGTTCTGCTGGGGTTTATACCTGAAACTGGCTGCTGGCTCTTGTGCACCATGTTTCTGCGCCAATGGCTGGCATACTTCCATGAGAATGGTCACTAGGGCTGCGCCGAGATGAAACGTGTTGGCGTCGGCGTCGATGGGACGGGGCGCGTCGGCAGGATGGGGCGCATGGGCTTTGCCGAGATGAGACGCGTTGGCGTCGGCGTCGACGGGACAGGGCACGCTTGCGGCGGCAGCGGGCGCGGCGACTTCTGTTTTATCCGGTTTTTGCGCGTATTTCTCATACTGTCCACGCCAGTCTGACCCAAGCTGATGTGCTCGTAGTAAGGGTATCCATCGCGACGCAAAGAGAGCTAGCCGTTGACGTTGGATGGACTGCTGCTTCATAGCGTACGCGATGAGGCCACGCTGTAGATCGACGGCCACATTGGTGCGCTCCTTCGACCGCGCTTCCCACCACCCAGCTCTCCACTCGAGCCATACCAACGTCCTCCTCATCTCCTCCACGAGAAGGATGACCTCCTCCTCCCATCGCGCCGCACGTGCGTCTGTCTTCGCCCACTGAGCACGAACTTGCTCGTTCAGTTCCGTGTCCGATATCTCCTCAGCAGACACTACGCGTTTTCCTGGCACAGTGGTGAGCCATATCCACGACTTGATGTATTCTTTCTGCTTCGTCTTGCGCCGGCTGGTCGTGGGGCGGGGCTCCTCCCCAGCACGGATCTGTTCTCGTACCCGGTACTCAACCTCCTCCTCTTCGTCCTTGCCCGGTCCAGAGATGTCCTCATCCCTGAGCGGGAGAAGGTAAGACGTCCACGATCCGTCTGCATCGAGCTGCTTTAAAGCACCGTAGGCTGCGCGATAGTCGTCTCGGCAGGCGTGGATTTTCTCCAGAAAACCTTGGAGGATAGTCCGGGAGCGGGTGTTGGTCTTCTGCCCGACGCCCCACACTTTCTTCCGAAGCCGAGTGCTTAGGCCTTGATAGACACGCCGCAGATGTCGTAGTTGGATGAGCGAATCCTGGGCCTGGGCTAAGCGCATGCGAGTCTCGATATTGACCACAGTGTGCAACGACGAATTTCGTCGCATACCCGCATCTAGTCCAGAGGGCAGGAGAAGCGGAAATTCTTCGGGAAGGGTGCTGGAGAGCGGATCGAACACTTCGGGCTCAGTCGATAGCCCCGCGTCTATGTCGGATGAATTACGGAGAGAGCCGCATGCCGGCATGTACACGGCTTGAGCTTTGAGATAACTATGGATGGTGTACTTCAAGGACGCGCGTTGCTGTTGAATAGACGTGCGCTGGGTACTCGTGCGCTGGGCGGCTGATTCAATGCGTCGTTTGAGACTTCGCCTGCAATACTAGTCAGAACACGAAGAGTTCATGCGCAGACTTATACGTACTGGCTTCCCTCTAACACCAATCCCAGGCGCACAAATTCTGCAAACCGAGCCCTCAGTTCCGCGTCCTCGTTTGCAAGCTCCTCGCGCAAGGTCTCCAGGTTGTTGGCTGTACGTGACATTAGCCTAATTGTGGAGGCGTAGCCCATCTTACTTACACGACTCGGGTTCATGGAACGGGTCCGGGTTGCTGTGATCTTGTTGCCAGGCCTCGACCATGGCTTTCCACGTTGCAACCACTTGCTCGGGAAAAGTCGCTGAGAAGCGATCGCTAATATCGCGATAAGCATTGCGCATCTTGACGGCATCAGGTAGGTGATGAGCGAAGTGATTACCTATGAGACGGCATATATCAGTACCGCACTCCATAATCTGATGACAAGTGTTGCACACCTAAGTTAACCACCTTCCGATGATTCTGCGCACCCATCATATCTTCGAGAACAAGGTGGCGATTCCCAGGGCCCATTTCAGACGTGCTCGTGCCGGATATTCCGAGGTACGCCCAGATTTGCTCGATAGTCTCGCCGTGTGATTGTCCAACGCCGGAGTTGACATTGAAGGAAAAGTCGTCCTGGCAGGTTTCGCCGTGCCCGGGCAGGTGAAATTTGGGGATGAAGCCGCGAAGCACGCAGAGCCAAGGAAGGCATAGCAAGGATATCAAGATGGCAAAGCGAGACTTGAAGTTGATTATGTAGGTGCACATAATGTCGTAAGAGATGTTGAGAGTTTCGATATCCTCGGCGACAAGAGCAAGTGCGGAGGCGAGCACAAAGTCAACATTTGCAAATCTGTCAAGAGGTCCGTGATGTTTAGATTATTGCGACGAGAGCTAGAACGTTTAAAAACGTACCGTTCGCCTTTTTGCAGGTCACCGACACCGTTCGGAAGCATCATAGCATGGCGTGAACATATAGCAGCCACGACACCGGTTGCGACCGTCTTCGAATTGCCACGTGTCAGAGCCTGCTGGACCGCGTTGTGCTGATTTCCACATGGCGGTATGTCCTGGGCGTGTGTGGCCGACTCAAAAAGTCGATGGTAGTCGCCGCCATGAACAAAATACGACCATCCGGCGCCAAACTCGGGGTCTTTGACGCCGCGATCCTTCAGCTTTAGTCGAAAACATGCATCCACAGCGATGAAAAGCGTGTAAATCCATCTGTAGCACATCGGTCAGTGGCTGCGTCTCCGGACAAGGCAATGTCCATGCTCACTTGTCCGGCGATATTCTCCAGCCAGGCGGGAGATTAATCCCTGGATGCGGGCAAGGGGGGCAAAGGACGGCTAAGCTGCCACGTGGTGTCGACTCGACCCCTTTGGCCAGATGTCCACTACCGCCCCACTTGAGGATTTTGAGGTGTCGATACGCGCGAACTGCGAACAAGACTGCCTGCCTCTGATACTTTATCAAGAGTGAGTAAGTGTGACGTATACATAGCATCATTGCGTACCTTCACTGTACGTAGCCCCGCATTGTCTCCAAGAAACTGAATGGTCCGGTAGTAATCCCAAAGTGTTGTTTTGGCCGTATTGGATAGCATCTGGAACATCTTGAGGTAGTCGACAGTGACCGCGGTTCGAGGACGCTGCCACGACGCGGGAAGCCAATGAAATCGAAGAAGTTGGACATGGTGCTCGACAGTCGAACAGCCGCAAAAGAAAAGTTTAACGTTATGCGAACCATTGGTATGCACAACCGTAAAGTTGTTGTACGCCGCAACTGCGTGTAGACAAGCCTCGCCCGGAGGATGACCGAGTTGGACAATCACCCCGCAGTCGCGGAGCGTACACACGTCGAAGTGGATGCCGTTCCATTGCTAAGTCAAGTTAAGCCCGAGTTCGACAACGGAAGTGACAATACTCACCTCGATCCGGTGCAACGGAAGACGACAATGATTCTTGACCAGGCACTGGCTGCAGAACATTTCGAACCCTAGACACTCGTGACACCGAAATCTGGCTTCACGAACGCCACATGGGCACATATGGTTGGCCTGCCAGCTTGGGCCAGGTGCGTCGAGACGAAGAAGCTCATCAAGCCAGAGTTGACGCTGGGATACGAGCCACTCCTGAGTATGGGACTTCGAGAGTAGAATATGAGTTAGTTTATTACTCTGGCTCAAAGGATCATGGCTTACTGCGAGCTGTGACGGGCCTTCAACCCCATCATCATCCCCAACAGAGTTGGCGGCGTCTGTTGGGTCACAAAGTTGCGAGAACTCGGGGTCAAGCGGCAGGGAGTACGAGGGCAGAAAATGCGTGTGCGTGTCTGGAGGTGGAAGGCGAGATAGGTTGGGTGCTGTTGAATGCACCGAACTGGATCCCAAGTTGCCCTTCGCTGTCTTCCGCAATACTGATGTGCGAACCTTCCGAGCGGTGTCCTTCGGGGCGGCTTGTTTCCGTGGAGGTGCTGGAGCAAACAACTTGCTACGTTTGGATGAGGATTCGTTAGTCTCGTTGGAACGTTTGGGCATGAAGGACAAGTTCGTGGCAAGGGGAGAAGCCGTGAGATACCAACAGAATATGAAAAACCAGATCATGTGACGGGCATCAGCCAATCAGAGCAGCACAATCTCTTGGGCGCTTGTACTATTGCATAGCCACATGCATATATGCAACCGACATCTTCAGCCATAGATAATAACATACCGGTCAAATGATGATATCGAGGTACACAGAAGATCTCTCAACGAATTTAACATAAGGATATAAACAACTAGGGGTACTTGTGACTGAGATCAGCGAATCCAGATAGGTCAATAGGTATGCTCCGTGTTGTTGATCAACTGCAAGATCAAATAACATTCAACGCCGACATGCACGTCCATGTATGTACTCATGCGCATCGCCGCATGTCTACGGTGATTATCTGGTCAATTCACATCGAAGATGCTTTGACAAGGACTTCTTGCACAGATCAGAATGCTCGTCACGACTGTACCATGGATGAATTGCACGATACTCATGTATCGGTATGTCTGATACACGTTTTCGAGGCTCCGGGCGCAGTTCATCCCACATCTTCCAAGCACCTCACATACCATCCGCATCGGTAGGTCGTGGCAACTGATTAGTGTGTAGTCAAGTTCACAGAGCGAGTTCTAGACGGCGTGAACAGCAGTTATCTGTCCAGACGTGCGAAGCATCCTTTGCCAACGCCGTGTTGAAACTCTCGACCAAACTCCAGATATCTTCGGGACTTACGACTTGCAAGCATTGCAGGTTGTCTCTTCCCGATCCGATTATCCGTCACTTGATGAACACATGTCGAAGATGCTTCGATCAGGACTTCTTGTACAGGTCAAAATGCTCGCCGCAACCGTACATGGAATGATCTTGCGGTACTCATCTGATATGTTTTTGAGGCTCCGGACGCAGCTCATTGCACATCTTCCAAGCATCTTAATCACTCTCGCTCGCGTTGTTTGGTCGTGGCAACTGAGCAGTGTATATTCGAAATCACAGATACGAGCGAGTACATGACGATGCGAAACACAAGCGAAGGACAACTACAGTAGTGCAATGCGGCAACAAGTACAAAAGCGGTGCGCTACAATTCATGCAACTTGGATATCATGAGGGCTGATGTCGTGGTAGCGACCATTCTTCCAGACGCGCAAAGCGCCATTTGCCAATGCCTCGTTGAAAATCTCGACACCTTCCTGGGCACTCATGACTCTGAAGCAGACCGATCCGCGAACTTCAACCTTGCCCATGACGACGTGCCTAAACAAACGGTTAGAAATTACCGACAGACACGACCAAACAACTGACCAGCCTTTGAAGACGCCAACGTGTTTGCCGCTCGTGACCACATACCACTGAAGATGTGCAGGTACGCTGTCCTTGACAGGGTCCTTGCCGTCGACGTTGACGAGGCGGTGGCTGCAGCAGCCTGGGAAACCCGAGCATCGATTGCCATGATTGGGTGCGGGAGCCTCCCTGGAGATGGGGTGGTCATCGTTGTCCAAGTCGGCGATACCATCAGAATCATTCAAGTTGACCTCAACGCCGCCCACGGGATCGATATTGGCTTCGGGGGAGGGATTGCGATAATTGGGGAATGCGCCAGCAGGGGCTGTGGCATCTTGACGGTCGGTGGTGGCAGGACGCGAACGGGTACCTTGACGTTGACGAGACGACGACTGGCGGTCGTCGGCAGACTCCATGCGAACACGTGGGGCTGGGCCCAAAGCAGGTACCGCCCGACGACCGTCCTGGCCAGTGCTCCGTGGTTGCGAACGAACTCGAAACTGGTCAGGCGGGGTTTGGGAAGATTGAACATCTACCGAAAAAGAGCGCAGATCTCTCTGCACATGAGCGGGAGCACCTTGCGCAGGCAGAAACACTTGGATATCGGGAGGAGATAAGAAATGGACCGAGCGGGGCCGGGTCGTAGAGCCTTGAGTGGACGCAATGACCGGCGAGCCAGGTACAGATGGTGCGACCAGCCTCTCAGGCTCAGGACTTGGCGGCGGCGTGATCTCCGGAGAGAGGCAGCCCGACTGGCTTGCGAAGTCCTGTTTTTGGTCAGAATCTGATTCCTCCTCCGCTTCCAGACGACTGATGTGGTCTATGAATATCAAGGTTAGCCCCGGAATCAAACTTAGACAAGCACTTACATTGCACTAGTCTCACGAGGTCGGTCACTCGTGTTTCAAGATGATGCAGTTGCTGTATAGTCAGTGACACGGCAATTCGTTTGATCAAGGCCAAGGGCTCACTATAGCACGCTGCTCTGCACGTCGCTCACATCTATCTCGTCGCACCATGATGGTTGGGGGGAAAGAGCGACGTGGCAACTTCGGCGGAGAAAATCCGTGATCTAGTGATCATCATTTACTCCCACACTGCGCGTTTAGTGCACGCACCTGGCAGCTGCCAGCACGCACACACCTCATGGGCCGCCGTTACAAGCTTCCGAAGCCACAGATCGACCTTCTCCTGTCATTCCTGCCGTCATATACTACATGTCAAGATTTCCAGGGCGGATTCAAGTCACTTTGGCCCCGTATCACGACCGCTTTCTATACTCAGTTCCCTGTTGTGCTCACCGCAGAAGAGCTTGCTGCTGCAGAAGGGGATGCAAATAAAGCATTGAAAATCCGTCATGATGCGGATTTGAAGGTAAGCTAGTTGGTTATATTGTTTGATATTGAAGTATTAACACGAGCAAAGTATATCAGGGCTTTAATGGCCAACGAGTCCCGCATTAATAGGGCCAGTAAAGGCGGAACTCCCTTATTGCTGCAAGTTGTGCGCGCTGCCACAGAAAACGAAACCCCCAAGCGGCAGCGTGCCTATCTGCCGTGGCAAGGCTACTCGAAGCTCATCGATTATTGCAATAACAACGAATTGAAGGCGGAGTGCCGGGCGGCACACAACACGTATTGCAACGCTCTCGAGCCCGATATCAAGCCACCAACACTTCTCACATTCACTGGACGGTGGCTGACCGAGCGGCTGGAAACCGAGTCTGACGAATTTCAAGAGGAGGTCCAGTTGTTCTGCGATGCCCACGGTGCCAAGGGCGAGGAGGACGACGAGGAAAATCCAGCAAATGATCTCTCCAGCTCCGGACCTGGTACGGACGACGCGCAGAGCAGTGCACACGAGGCCACTGACGGTGTGGCGGCGGACTGCGCCGATGGGGCCGCAAAAGGTCCGCCTACCGCGTTCTCAGACGTTCTAGCCAATGAAGCCGAGTATCAGCGGTGCGTACCCGTTGTCGAACTCATACCATATTACTGATGACATGACAGTCTCTGCAACAGCCTTCCGAACGTTTTCATGTCTATGCTAGACTCTCTCGCCGCAGAAACCCGTTGGTCGTTTTGCATTTTCGCTGCCGGACCGGACCCGAAGTATGGAGAGGTGCCACGCTCCTATAGGTATGTGATCTTTGTTCGTATGCCCATTATGGAGTCTCCAATACTTTGTTTCCCTTCGTAGTTATGCCAACACTTTCCGAGGTAATAAGCTCTAAGAAAGACGCATGGAAGGCTTTTCAAGATCAGTGGGATCATTGGGCAGCGCAGCGCTATCGTAAGTTCATTGTCACAATCTCCCGTTCAACATCTCAAACTTATTTACAGCGGGTGGATGGACGGGCGTTCAGCAATCCGTCCAGGCAACAATCGCCTCCGGGGGCACCCGACGGCAGGCTCTCAAAGCTCTATCATTGGCTGAGCCTCCGTTGGCAACCGAAGACTCCACAAAGAAGAAGAAGAAGAAAAGGAAAAGCCGAAAGAAGTCTCCTGTGGCAGATTTCGCCATCTGTTCCGCATCTACGGTTCCTTCGTCGCCGCCTCCTTCCCCCGCCCAGATCGGTGCCGCCATCCAGGACAATGCTGCTGCCGCCGGGGACGATGCTCCCACCGCTGGGGACGATGCTCCCACCGCCAGGGACGATGCCTTTGCCGCCGCCGGGGACGATGCCTTTGCAGCCGCTGGGGACGATGCCTTTGCAGCCGCTGGGGACGATGCCTTCGCAGCCGCTGGGGACGATGCCTTTGCCGCCGCCGGGGACGATGCCTTCGCAGCAGCCGGGGACGATGCTGCCACCTCTGGGGACGGTGCTGCCGCTGCCGGGGACGATGCCTTCACAGCTGCCAGGGACAATGCCTCCGCCGCCGCTGGGGACGATGCTCCTGCCGCCGGGGACAGTGCTGCCACCGCCGGGGATGATGCCTTCACAGCAGCCAGGGATGATGCCTCCGCCGCTGCCGGGGACAATGCTCCTGCCGCAGGGGACGATGCCTTCGCCGCCACCGCCACCGCCACCGCCAAGGATGATGCCGCCTTCGCCACCGCCGCCAAGGATGGTGCCCCTGCCGCCGCTCTGGATGGTGACGCCGCCGCTGCCGCCACTCCGACTGCCCACGAGGACATGGAGCCGCCCATTGATGCATCTGGTGTTGACCCCACAGGAGCTTCTATGTGCAAGGAGGCCTCAACACCGGCGTCGTCGCGTACACCCCGTCTCACACGCCGGAGCCATAAAATCGTGCCTCTGGCTAGCACGGAGACGACTCCCGCTGGCACCAATCGTTCAATACGCAAACGGCGCTCCCAGGTGGCTGTAGGATCGCTACCATCTTTGATGCCTGTCCCACCGCCGTCTGCACTTTATCTACCCACGTACCAAGGTTGGGTGGAGAATGCGCATGAATCTTTCCGGACACTCTTATCCAACATGGGTGCGGACGAGCTCCAGCTCCAGCTTAATCCCCTCCTTGATCTGTGGGTCAAATTTGAAGCTGCACGGGGTTACGCAGATAGGAATCATAACATGCCCAGCACCTTGCGCCCGAAGTCAGTGGCTTGGTGGATGACCAACGCCAAACGCGACGCCGACGTGGTTCCTGACATATCCGTTCATCCCAGAGATGTCACCATCTTCGCATCGCGCTGGTGGGAGTGGCTCAACGAGATCTCGCCGGCATGGCGACGGCTGGATCAATCTCAGATATCTGTCCCTGTCCCGAATGTTGGACTCCGGTTCTCTCGGAGCCTGCCTCCTGACGATGCCGCCTGGGGTTGCCTCTCTCAAAGCGGGTCAAAGGGCATGATCCTGGTGCTTGTTTGCCTCATATGGTGGGGAACTGTCATCCCAACTCATCCAGACGCACGATTGGGATGGCTTCATGCTGTGGAAGAGATGACATGGATCTTCCAGCACGCCGGCTTAACGTCTCCGTCGGCGCCCACTGGCCTTGACAACACCCTCGTTACCATCACCGCGGCCGGCCGGCCGAAGCCGCGTAAGCGTGCTTCTGCTGCATCAGCCACCGAATCCCCATCATCCGTTGCTGCCGTCGCTATGCGCGCCAAGCGCCCAAGGAACGACGGTACATCATCAGCCAACAAGAGAGCCCGCCATGCCTAGTATATACCTTAATTAGCTGTGTAATGCCTGTTTCCCAACTAAGGAGTACGATTTCTGACTCTAAATATGATTATTCCACAAATATTGTACAGTTCAAAGAGAAAGCACGCAGCACATATGGGTGAACATGATACAGAGTCAGGTTCAACACGAGCGGTGTGCGGGAGGCAGGCAGGTCGACTTCACAACTTCAGCAAACAGAGTCAGGTGACGAGCAGGCGGCAAGAGGCGGGCGCTAAGCGAGCGGAGGCGGGCATTTAAGCGAGCGGAGGCGGGCATTTAAGCGAGCGACGGGCGGGAGAGGAATGTTAAGCGAGCATCGAGCGGGAGGCGGGCATTTAAGCGAGTGTCGGGCGGGAGGGGAGTGTTAAGCGAGTGTCGGGCGGGAGGCGGGCAACTAAGCGAGCGCCGGGCGGGAGGCGGGCATTTAAGCGAGCGACGGGCGGGAGGGGAATGTTAAGCGAGCGACGGGCGGGAGAGGAATGTTAAACGAGCATCGAGCGGGAGGCGGGCATTTAAGCGAGCGGCGGGCAGGAGGGGAGTGGTAAGCGAGCGTCGGTCACGCAGCAGCCAGGGGCATGAGTGCCGACACCGTAAGCGAGCGTCGTAGCAAGTCGAAGATGATATCATAGCTCCTTCGGAGGCTCGGACATCGGGGACGGGAGCGATAACCTCTGAGGACGCGATTCACACGTTTTCACCTCCTACGAGCTCCATAAGCGAAGTGTATATCGTCATTGCATCAGCTGAGCGGAGTGTTAATGCAGGCCAATGTCTGATCAAGGCTGCCTGCGCCCCTGCACTGCCCATTGAACAACCTACCGGCAAAATAGCCGTCATATACGACATGCCATGGTCGCACTATTAGTCGAGTTTATTGTACAAATGTCCCTGTCAGGGTTGAGCCACGAGGTATCCACGGCTGTGTTGTCGTCCTGGGGTCTTTTGTGGCAATGTATTTGTGAGCACCTATCTCCGCCTTCCCTTGTCATGTCGGACGTGATGTGCAGTACAATAAGTGTACGATATCTGCGCGCCCGCTGACTTCTTTCATTACACGAGGCAAGTCGGCTACAAATGTATTGTCCGTTCCAATGTTTGATGTCCAAAAAAGTTCAGATGACGGGCCGTTCGACGATTATCGTATATGTCAAGAGCGATCACTTCTGAAAGCATATATACCCCGCCCGCACAGACTACAGCGTGCTGAACCCGTCTCCCCCGAGTGTCTTTTGCCTAACTTTTGACACAACTCATCACCTATTCTGCGCATATGACAACGCCATCATGATGGAAATCCCCCACGAGAATGCTACCAAGGTCTGAACCAGCTTTCTCCAAACTTCGCCCTGACGCAGTGTACAGGGTAGAAATATCGTTCTTTGCTTTGACGGTACAACCAACTGTTTCCGGACAACCCATATCACCAACGTCATACGAATATTCGAACTGATTCGCAAGGACAGCCAAGACCAGCTGTGCTACTACCAGGCTGGTCTTGGCACGTATGAGGCAGATGTTCCTGTCGGTACCCAGAAAGTCTGGGGCAGAACCACGGTTGCAAAGGTTGCAGATGTTCTCTTCGCACGGTGAGCGCATGATACTCCTGTGGTAGGTGCAACCAGCTCACATCACGTCGGTAGATCCATCAAAGGACATATCCTTGGGGGGTATCGGTACCTGATGCGTCATTGGCAGAAAAACGACAGGATATATATGTTTGGGTTTAGTCGCGGTCAGTATTGCATGATTACGTTCATCTCATTCATTATAACCATTTGGCCGCCATAGGTGCTTACACTGCGAGAGCGCTTTGTGGAATGCTCGAGAAGGTGGCACCTAATTACGCTGCGACAGCGATTGAATTCTGAAATCATCTATCAGGTTGGACTACTTACTTCTGGGAATGAAGAGCAAGTCGCTTTTGCATGGAAGTTGTACAAAACTCGAAACAATGACCGACCGCAGGCGGCGGAATTCAGATCGATATTCAGCCAAGAAGTGAACATTTACTTCCTCGGACTGTGGTAGGTGATCAGTAGTCACGATTCTTGCACCACCGAGCTAAATGACGTGGTACAGGGAAACGGTTCGTTCAGCAGGATTTACTTGCGCCCCGCATTTGCCGGAACCCGGAACCGAGTCTAAACGTTTTGGAGACGTTGATTATCGGCGAAGAGATGGCTTCGTATGCCACGTCTAGTGAGTGGATTTGCGTATCTTTCCACTGTATATGTACTAAAAACTCCCCTCACAGTCATGCATTAGCTCTCGATGAGACACGGACCAAATATAAGCCTCTCCGGTATATTGTACCGCCCCGTTGGGAGAAAACAAACGTCAGTGAACGCTGGTTCGCTGGAAGCCATTGCGACGTTGGCGGGCGATTCGATTTGATAACACGGTCCAAGGATTTCTCGCTTGCCAACCCGTCCTTTCGGTGGATCGTTCGCGCTGCCTGTATGGCTTCCAACCAATGCGGCGAGTTTTTGTTTGACTGGGATGCCATCCGAGCGTATTGCGCAACTCTCGTATATCATCCGCTGCCACAACATGATCACAGGGACTGTTGCGAGAAAAGCGACCAAAGGCTCCAAGATATCTGTCAGGACTATCAGATTGCAAAATTGGTCGCCACCTTTATCACCAACGAGCAGGCGTCCGAGGACTCCGCTGAGGCCATGGGACAGTCTACACTCTCGCTGACGCCTGCAGAATTCGTGAAGAGACCTGCGAGGGAAGTGCAGGAGATGGGTGAACAAGTTCGCAGTGCCTTCGACATATCGTGGCGAGGAAAGCTATGGTGTGTTCTGGAGCTGGTGCAACTCCAACCTCCCCGGGGTCGCCGCCGTGTGCTCCCTGAAAAAGCCACCCTTCATCCGTCTGTTCTCGCAAAGATGAACATAGACTCAACATATGGAGGCGATATGCGCGAGAGCTTGTTGACTCTTGAAGCGGACGAAGAGTTCAGGCTGGTGTGTCGTTCCTCGTGATAAAATCTACCGAAATGTCAACAACGCTCTTCCGTTTAATTAGGGGGCAAACGGTAACAAGGAAGTAGAGGGGCCTTTGATTCGAAGACGCTCCATCTCCTGGGCAGCTGAAAACTTATCGAGGTTCCTCAAAAAGCTAGCTGAGACTCGCTCCTCGAGACAAGAGCACGCGTGAGTCAGTCGGTGCTGCTGTAGATCGTATGTTGCTTACTTTCTTCTTAGAGCGCCACCCCCGTCCCCACAGATCGCCCTTGAAGTCACGCGAGGATCGCATTATCGCAGTGGGTGAGTAAGCGGGCAGGCCCAGCAATGTACATGTTGATCGTCTTCCTCAAGTAGACCTCCCACCCCATCGCAAGTTGACAGCGCGGTCGGGGAAGAAGTTAACATGCCTCCTGTGAATTCACATAATGAGTGCGTAACGTGATGACAGTCCAGTGATACTCACCTTGAACGTCTTGCCTTCTAGCACGCCATCCCCTTCACCACAAACTGTGAACGTCATCATGAAGTAAGGAGTGGCCTTTATCTCATGAGGTGCTGGCTGACATACGTATCCAGTCCCACGAAGAACGAAGGACGGACCGCCGTAGCACCTCTCAGGTTGGCGATCCCGATGAGACGATCATCATCCTCGCGACCAAGTCCGGCCCCGTCGTTTGCCACTCAGGAAGATGTGCCTCTTCGCTGTGAACGGCCGCCGCCGTCCTGGGAGCATGTATATGGTTCTCCCCCAAGCCTCAGCAGCCTACGCGCTGTAATACATCAACAGGTTGGAGTAGAGCTCGGACATCGTCCGAGCCTCCCGGCATTGCCCGAAGGAAACGCGTACGATACTATGGATGTACCATCAATGCAATTTCGATTGCATTGATGGTTCAAAATCGTCATTTCATTGCCAATCCACCCAGAAACTAGATCATATGGTAGCCAAAACCATGTAGCAGCTGTATGTCAAGCCTCAAATATTTTGGTACGCGGGATGCCTTGCCAGAGCGATGCCGGTAGGACGTGTCGATGACCCTGCAGATTGCACAACGGGTCCCCCAAGGCCGAGAAGCCGAGGCCGCGACCTTCTGGCGGGGAGCTCCTGCAATCTGACCCTGCTTTGTCAGCATTTGAAGCGGAGCTTCAATTGCATTCATGGCACCTCCGCCAGTAATCCTTGCATAGCAAGCACAAAGTTGCAGATATCACGTATCGGGATTTACAGACGTACCTTCTGTATAGTATAGAGTATACTTGAATATATTCAGATTTTTATCAGTTCCGATCCCTTGAGCCGAGCCGTGTCTTCATGCTAGAGCATGCTTGGATGGTTCCCCAAATGGCGTTGCGCATTTTCTGTAGGCCCATCCCCTAATGCTTCGCTCTGTTCCTTTGGCACATATCATTAGATAGTACTGTATATGCACTCAATTTAATATGTAGGGATTAGGATGAGAGGGAGCCCCGCAGTGACGAGATTTCAGACCGATTGCATTGATGGTCACTATTGCATTGATGGTACATCCATAGTACCGGTAACAATACCGGAGCTCAGGAGTGCTACCCCACATGACCCAACGGGCCATGGCCCAGGCAAACAGGCAGTTTCTGAACGACTGTCTGGTACCTCAGATCGGACGGCGTGAACACAGGCTTGAGGATGAGCCTGCGTGTAATGAGACCATCGAAGTACATGTATTGATGCCATACGATATATTTGTCAGCCGCAGATCGCGAATTGGTGGGGCCCGCATACCCCAAGGTTTCCCGGCTCCAGTGGGCACGTAGCCGACGCACCAATTCACCCGGGGCTTGTATATCTACATATACAAGTTCAACTATGAATGTATGTTATCAAAGAACTAGCAGTGTCAGGCCCACTGTTTGTAACTTGAAGTTGTCCAGGATCACGCATCTAAGTTACATAACGCTGCGGAGCTACATAGACGAGCTACGACCACGGCTATAGCCACACCTGCACCGAGCACCAACATCGATTTACGCCGCTTACAGCTATGCTCACCAGACGGCACTCGCGAAGCACGACTACTTGCTCCCCCGTGCCCGCCGCGATGTCTTCGAACGACAACAGGCGCAGGCCTACTATCGTCAACGCCAGCAGCAGCAGCAGCGACGAGAAACCCTCGCTGTTTTCGCTACTGACCTCGCAGAAGAGCGACGTCGAGCGCGAATACGAAGGCAGCAGGAGGAGGCCGCGCATCGCCAGCAGGAGCTCCTCGCGCTCCGGCAACGGCAGCAGCGACAGCACCTCCAGCAGGTTGCCTGGCTGAGACAGCAGGTTCTAGCCGAGGTCGAGCAGCGCCGCCGTCAGGAGGAGCTTGCGCGCTTAGAACAGGCTAGACGCAGGCAGCAGCAAGCCGAACTTTCGAAGCTCCTGGAGACGTTCTTCACCCCCTCAGAGCAGGGCTCGGAGTCTGAGCGGGAGAAACAGGTGAGCTTGCTCGCGATCTGGGCGGGCGGAATGGCGATCCTCATCCGTACTCTTCTCCAGCCCGCCTCCGCTCCGCGTGCGACGCCCGCCGCTCAAGGGCAAGGCAAAGGAAGAGCCGATGCCCGCGTGTTCTTCCGACTCCGCACCTCAAGTGACGGTTGAACACCTGCTCCGCCAACGTGCTCAAGTCGAGAACGATCAAGATGTTCAGGAGACCCTCACGTCGCTCCTCCAGTCTTTCTTCAACGGTTCGGCTCAGGCTCAGGCACCAAAGGAGCAGAAGAATATCCGGTTCAACATGAACGGGCAGGTATGCACCATTCATCTTCACCTGGGTCGGTTCTCCGAGGACTCACCCGCGTTTGCTTTCTTCAGCAGGCCGGCCCGTCAAACTCTTCCGCTGAGCCCGCCGCTTTCCATCAAGGAGAGCCAGCCACTGCTGCGCTTGACCCGAGCCCTTCGGCGCAGGGGGCACCGTCTCTAGAACGTAAACCCCCCCTCGCTGGCGCATCGGCCGAACAAGTCCGTGCGCACCGTCACCAGCGCACCTCCTCCCTCGACGAGATCGCCAGCATCCGTGCCTCGTTCGACTCGCTCTCGTCCGACTTCCATCTCCCGGAGCACCTCGACTTCAACCCCTCGCCTACTCCATCTCGCTCTCCCTCGCCTATCCTTGACCACTCGGCTGAATCGGAGAACGAGGAAACCCTCGCGTACACGGCCAACAACCGACCTCTGCACCAGTATACGCACGCGCTCGGACTGCTCCTTGCCAGGCTCGATGCGGTGGAGAGCGATGGAGACGATGCTGTAAGGAAAGCCAGGAAGGATGCGGTCGTTGTCGTTGAGCGCGAGCTGGAGAGGGTCGAGAGGGAGGTGGAGAAGCAGCGGCCTGGGTCGCCTGTGCCGAAGGAGGATGCGGACGCGAAGGTCGGCGAGCCTGCTACAGATGAAGAAGCTACCGTGGATGACCAAGCCGCGCTCTCCACCGACGAACACGTAACTGTCGCTGATCCCGAGACTCCCGAACAGACGATGGCGGAAGCTCCTTCCGACCAGTCACCCAACGAGAACGTACAAGAAGCCGCTTCTGAAGACGTTCCTGCTATGGAGGTGAACGGTGCTCCCGTTGACGTCCCCGAATCAGCACCCTTCAACGCCCTCTCCAGCTCTACGCCAATTCCAGACTCAGTCCAAGACACTGCAGGCACCTCCGCGCTAGCTAATACCGCCCCGCCTGACGCGCCCAAGCTTTCGCCGATCGAACCTGTTTCAGAAGAGCTACCCTCGCTGGAGAGCCCGGAGGAGTCGCCGGCGCCGTCCGAAGCCTCAACGTCGACCCGTCCTCAATCCGAGTC